ATCTCCTCCCTTGTACTTGAGATTCTATGTCTCAGAGATTCTGTCCATTTGGCAGTTTTTCAGTGTATGTGATCCACCACCACAAACCTAGTTCAGGCAACTATTCTCTCTCCCCTGAGATACTGCAGCATTTAGCTGCTCACCTCATGTCCACTCATGTTCCCTGAATAAGTTTCACCCCCCGGGCAGCCAGAGTGACCTTTACATATATGACCACAGCCTTGCTGGGCTCTGGGTAAAGCCCATGCCCCTTTACACGACCGAGGACCCCTGGATGCATCATCTAGTGGATGTAAGATCCTTGAAAATCTTCATCTTATATTTCTTTGTATGTCCTGTGATCAGCCAGAAACTCACGGTTATATAAAATGAATAAAGTTTTGAAAAATCAAAACATTGAGAAAATTATGAAAGTTAACATCATGGACTTAAACTATCAAACATCAGAGGTGAACCACAAGCATCAGAAACCACAACTTCCCTGAATGACTGATGGTGAGCTGACCATGATGCAGTGATCTGGGCTCCCTGCACTGATCAGAAATCAGGGAACTGGTCAGTCTTCACCTTTGTGTTCTTCACACCAGCCCTGCACCCATAGCAGCTGTCTTTCCTCATCAACCACAAGAGCACCTTCAAATGTTTACTGGTGGGAAAGTATTCATGGTCTGATTTCTAGCACCAGGATCATGCCATTGACAGGTTTTTTTCTTTAATGATTTTTTAAAAAAATATATCTTTATTGATTTCAGAGAGAGAAAAGGAGAGGGAGAGAGAGAGAGAAACATCAATGATAAGAGTCATTGATCGGCTGCCTCCTGCACGTCCCCGACTGGGGATCAAGCTCGCAACCCGGGCATGTGCCCTGACCGGGAATCGAACCCTGATCTCCTGGATCCTAGGCGGAGCCATGCCCATCTGGGCTCTTTAATGATTTTTTAAAATTGATTTTAGAAAGAGAGAAGGGAGAGAGACAGAGTGAGAGAGACAGAGAAACAGAGAGCCATTGATGTGAGAGAGATACATCAACTGGTTGCCTCCTGTACATGCCCTGGCCAGGGATTGAACCCTCAACCTTCTGCTGCACAAGATGATGCTCTAACCAACTGAGCCACCCAGCCAGGGCACCATTGACAGATTTTATCTATTTCTTTGCTTAGACAAGCTGCTTAATACCTCTGAGTCTCAATGTAGCCATTTTTAAATGGGGATAAAAATCACAAATATCTGCCCGGCTTGAGTGGCTCAGTTTGTTAAGAATCAGCCTATGCACCAGGGGTTGCTGGTTTGATCCCCAGTCAGGGAACATATGGAGGGCAACTGATTGATGTTTCTCTCTCATGTCAATGTTTCTCTCTCTCTCTCCCTTCCTTCCCCTCTCTAATCATGTCCTCCAGTGAGGATTAAAAAAAAAAATGATAAAAGAGACAAAGTAGCAATGTAGGTAACTGCAGTACCTGCTCCATCCCACAACCACATCAAAATTACAACTAAAATACAGAACAACCATCATTCAGAACCTCCTGAAATCTAGCTGAACAGAAGTCCTACAGTGAGAGAACTGAAGAAGCATCAAGACCTGTAGGAGGGGCAGAGATGAGAGACAGAATCTGGATGGAATCACAGAGATGCGATCGCAGTCCCACACCCAGGTGCCATGGTTTAAAACCGGGAGTGATATATTGGAGGTGGAGGTTTCCTGGAGGAGTGAGGGGTTCCAGCCCCAGATCAGGCCCCCGGCCTAGGGTTCTAGGGCCAGGAATGGAAGTCCCCACAACTTTGGGCTGTAAACACCAGTGGGGACTGTGGCTGAGGGACACAGAGGCTGTGGGAGTCCCAGGCAGTTCCTCTTACAGGGGAGGTACATGGACTCACTTAGACTCGCTTCCTCTGAGCTCCAGCCCTGGGCTGCAACTTGAAAGGAACCTGGGACATTTGGGGAGGAACTAACTTGCCTGGAATCCTGCAGGGCAAGAGCTGGAGGGCAGCTTTCTCCCAGACAGAAGAGCTGGCAGAGGCCATTGCTATTTTGACAAGCCCTCCCCCAACAGAGTTGGCAGGCAGGTGCCTTCTCTGAATGTCCATCAACGTGACTCACACCTTTGGCCCCGCCTTGATGTTTCCCAGAGATCCCACCCTCCCTACTTGCAAGATCACCTAAGGCATTTCCAGTGGCTTTTCTATGCAAGTGGCCTCTCGAGCCTCATGCTTAGGACTTTCCTAAATATCTCAAACAAGCAGCAGTGGGCCTCAGTGGGCCCCATACCTCTCGATAAGTGGCCCCAGGCCTGGCACTAGTGGCAGCCTGCATTGGTTCATTGCCTGACCTCTCCTGGACACCTCCAAGCCCAGCACAAGTAGCAGCCAACTACAGCTTGCCATGTAGCTCATGCTGGGTGGCTCTGGACAGGGCACAGGCAGAAGCTGAATTTGCACCTCCTGGGAGACCCCAGAGACAGTGCATCTGGTGGTCAGCTTTGCCAATACTAGATTACAACTCTACCACATCCAAGAGTGACACATTTAAGGGGCAGACTCAGTGAACACCAAAGTCCCACTGAAGCAAATCCTGCTCCATAGGGGAGTCTTCAGCACAACAGCTCTTTGGCTGTAGTTGCAGCTGGTCTTCACAGCCAAGTGGCCTGGGGGTCAATTTGTCCCAGTGGCCAATAGCAACCAAAGCTCAACTGCAACAGGACAATGCACACAGCACACACAGGGGAGCACCTAGAAGGCCCAGCTCAGGTGACTGAGGAGACTAAGCCACTGGGTGCTACAGGACACCTAGTACACAAAGCCACTCTACCAATTCTAGGAGACATATCAGCTCTACCTAATACATAGAAAGAACACCTGGAAGCAGCCAAAATGTGGAGACAAAGAAGCATGCCACAAAGGAAAGAACAGAAGAAATCTCCAGAAAAGGAACTAAATGAAATAGAATCAAGCAAGCTACTAGATACAGAGTTCAAAATAATGGTTATAAGGATGCTCAAGGATCTTAGTAAGACTATTAAGGAAACTAGTGAGATCATCAATGACATAATAAAGAACTAGTCAGAAAGGAAGGCTACACTAACTGAAAGAAAGAATAATTTACAGAGAATCAACAGTAGAGTAGAGAACACTGAGAATCAAATCAACAGTTTGGAATATGAGGAAGCCAAAAACACCCAACCAGAAGAGCAAAAGGGAAAAAGAATCCAGAAATATGAAGATAGTGTAAGGAGTCTCTGGGACAACTTCAAGTGGCCCACCATTCACATTATGGGGGTTACAGAAGGAGAAGAGAGGGAGTAAGAAATTGAAAACCTATTTGAAAAAATAATGACAGAAAACTTTCCCTACCTGGTGAAAGAAATAGACTTACAAGTCCAGGAAGCACAGAGAGTTCCAAACAAGAGGAACTCAAAGAGGCCCACAGCATGACACATCATAATTAAAACCCCAAAGGTTAAAGACAAAGAGAATCTTAAAAGCAGAAAGAGAAAAGCAGTTAGTTACTTACAAAGGAGCACCCATATGACTGTCAGCTGATTTCTCAACAGAAACTTTGCAGGCCAGAAGGGAGTGGTAAGAAATATTCAAAGTGATGAAAAGCAGAAACCTACAACCCAGATTACTCTACCCAGCAAAGCTATCATTTAGAACTGAAGGTCAGATAAAGAGCTTCATAGATAAGAAAAAACTAAAGGAGTTCATCACCACTAAACCAGTATTACATGAAATGTTGAAGGGTCTCCTTTAAGAAGAAGCTAATGAACAAAAGAATCTGACAAACAAAATAGACCCAGAGACACTGAAGCATGCAACAGACAGTCATATAGGAGAGGGAAGAGGGAAGAGGGTTAGGGGGTGGGAAGAGATTAACCAAAGAAGTTATATTATGCATATATGCGTAACCCATGGACACAGACAATCATGGGCTGAAGGCCTGGGAAAGGGGTGGGAACTAGGTGGAGGGTGTCAATGGGGGGGGG